AGCCCTCATGAAGGGACCGATGTGAAAGGAGAAATCCTCCCCTCTGTGGTCGTCCAGGAGCAGAGGGGTGTTTCAGGAGTAAGAGACAAAAACAGAGACAGAAGGAGTGAGGGGCAAATGAGCTGCCAGCGCTGAAATACTGAGATTGTTAGCGATCCGTGCTAAAAGACTGGTTTTACTAGCGCCTCTTCTGATTGGCTGATTTAGGACTTGATGCCCCAGCAAGGAAATTTTTTTATCCGGGTCGTTTATGCGAATTGATTTCACACTTAACCTCCTGGCAAGTTAACAGGGCCTCTAAAGGGCTATACTTCAGATCCATTTCTATATTAATGTGATATTAATGATAGAAGCGGTGGAGCTTTATGGCTTTGCAGAAGTGAATTCCCTCTGAGATTGAAGTAAAGGACCATCACTCTTTACCAAACAACATTGGTACTTTGATACTTGAAACCACTCAAATACACCCCACAAATGTGGTCACAACTAAATGCACCATTGTGATTAATTAATCATGCTTATTGATATAAAGAGGAGAGAACTGCTGCTGAAATATTCTTACAGATGGAACCACCTCGTACATTTCTTCTCTTCTCTCCTCTCCTCTCCTCATCTCTTCTCTTCTCTTCTTTTCTCATCTCTTCTTTTCTTCTAAGTTGAGTAGTCAACAACTCTGATGTATTAGCTTTTATTGATTACCTAATAGCTGCTTGTGTGTGTGTGTTAGTGTGTGTGTGGATTGTTCTCCCTTTGTGTGGACCTAATTCTTGTTCCATGGGCCCATTTCGAGGATTTTCTATTTCTTCTGGTTGCATCATAGCTTCACAATAAGAGTATATAATGTACAAATTAACACATTCTTTGGGGGGGAGTTAAAAATAAATTATGGGACTGCTCATGCTTCTTAATGTAAGAACACAGGATGTCCTCTGAAGTCAGGTAAACGTTACTTTGTGTGTGTGTGTGTACAGACAGCCCGTAGACTTTCAGCTGAGTGGACTCAAAAACTACAGCGTCACCAGCCCTCTGTCCATCTGTACCCCAGTCTGCATCAGAACCACATGAGAAAACTCAGGTTACGGCAGAACGTTCTCATTATTCAGTCCTGAACAAGAAGAGCATTTCTACCAAGCACTTGCAGGTAAGCAGTTTAATTTACTTTTCCCTCTGGCCCAGTCCTTTTTAGTGGAAATATTGTCCTCTCCAAACTATCACATACAAAAGTCCAAGTTACAACTAAAGATTATATAAACCCAAAAGCTAAACATTTTTGGGCTCCGGGGCCTTAAAAATGTGTCACCTGAATCGGCAAAATGTTCAAATTATTTGATGTATAAAAAATCGAGGATCATATGATGATCAAAAGGTGGGAATTTTCCTTGCAGAATTTTTAATGGTGTACTTTCCCATTGCTGTATAATCTTTTGTAATATCTGTTCTTCATTCTGTCCCCATGCCACTGAAAGCACTTCAGTTCATCGTGATTTCCAATCTTCCAATCAAAGAGGAACCCAGGATGGAGGGTGCCGGGTTCCCATTGTGAGCTGCTCCTATCTGGTCAGTACCATCTCATGTTTCTTTATTCCTGATGAATCCCTTGTGTGTATGAAAGCACCTGTACACAGGGAACAGTTTAATTCAACACTCACCAGAACTGCATTTATTTTGGGGTTCTGCCAATCTAAGCATTCCACCTTAGCTTGATGACACTTTTAATTAAGATGAATGGGTCAACTATGTTCCCGACGGGCATCACAACAGTCTGTAGTGTGTGTGGGACCCCCCTTTAAAAGAGAAGTGTGAGTTAAGTCATTTGAGTTTGAATGGATCTGCTGAACTGAGCCCCAGCCCCACGCTCTTAAGTCAAGTGGTGGGCCTGATCAGGCCTTGCCCTGCCATTCACCCCTGGGTTCGGGGCTGTTGTTTGCGGCCGCTGATTTCCACTGGGAGGGCGGACAGTACAGCGGGAGACACACAGAGAGGCTCAGCGTCTTATGGGCTCCTGGCTGAATGAAAGCCAGATCAAACAGTGTCAGAAAAGCCCCTCCATGTTGCTCCTGAGTGTGTGTATCTTCTAGGTGGGATTGATGCATTAGGTGGGCAGATGGCCTTATCCTTCTCTGTGGGGGCTGGTGTGAGGTTGCACAGTTGTCCCACGGGGCAATATATTTGCGGACGCACATGCATGCGCGCACACACACGCACATATACACACACACACACACACACACACACACACACACACACACACACACACACACACACACACGCACAGTCACATGTTATTACCCTAATAACCTACAAAGTCGCTCATACTAAAAAATAGCAAATACCTGTGCATCTCAGTCTGTCCTCCCTGTTCTGTTTGAACTATTTCAGCCCAGATTAACTGCAGGGCTTCTCCTTTGGATTGATTCTTATGCAACTGTGCTGAGAAAAGTAAATCTGGTTGTAGGTTGACATCTGGCATTGTCATTCGGGATGTTAGAGAGTGTTATAGGCTTTTTCTCCCCATGCATAGCGCTTTACAATAGTTTGTTGTGTGCTAGTTGTGTGTCTTTATGCGCAAAGCTATTGTATTGACCCAACTGTTATTCCTGAGGGTGATGAAGTTAGCAGTAGGGTAGTGAGGAGAGGAGTTACTGATACAGTACCACACTTTTTTTTGTCATTCACACATTTCTGTTAAAGCATGTCCTTTCTTTGTGCCCACTTCTTTGTATGTTTATTCTTTTTTTTGTTATTTTTCCATTAAAAACAAAGAGCGAAATAGTAAAAGAGGTTCTCACAGAATGACAAGAGCAGGTTGTGTAATTCCCGTGTGGCAGTGGCCGCATGGTGCTGGCCACTGCTGTTTGGCTGTGGGCTATTCTCAGGCAAATGTTTCTCTCTGTGGGGTGGAAGTGTTGAAAGGCACTGGGATGTCTTAAACTGATACTCCTGCACAGTGGAGGCCCATGCTGCTGTTGACCGTCGACAAAAGGAAAAAAAGATGTACTGGTGCATTCCTGCATAAATCCAACGACGGTAAAGAGCTTCCGGGGTATCTTTGATTCCATGAAAAACAAACGCTTTTTTCATGCCGTTGTCGGTGCAAGTGGTTTGAAAAATGTCAAATTGGTTCAAAGAGGGGATTGAAATGGTCAAATCAGTTGGAACATTTTCTTGCAGTGACAGTGGGGAGACAGATTTACAACATATGGACTCTGTACTCCTACATGCACATCCGTGCACAGAGACAAGGTGACCTCCCTCCCTCTGAGGATGTTTGCTGTTAGCCCTGATAATCCCAACTAAGCCGGTCATTTCGGTAAAAGATGGCAGACTCCAAGATTTGTTTGCTCTTTCTGTTACCAGCCAGCTGGGGGAGAATGGTTGGTTGGGTCTCACAAGTGAGCTACAACATTTTCCTGAGAGCCTACTTCAAACTGTACAGCCTGCCTCTTGCAGCAGAGCAGGAAACTCACAGAGAGGCAAAGTGCTGAATAATATCCCT